CGGGGGGGATGGCATTGCCACGGGGGGATTGCCGCTAGAGGGCACGTCCTCCGTGCAGCGCCAGCGTCCGCAGCGAGTCCGGGCGGCTGCAGCTCTGACACCTCTGCCTGAGAGTCAGTCCTCCCTGCTCTCAGCACAGTGACCGTCAGACTCCAACCCGAAATAAGCAATGTGGAATCGCACAGTTTATACTGTGATTTTTTTTTTTTTAACCTTTTTTATTTTGACTATTTAAAGTCAAGGATGAAACACCCAGTGTGGTTTGGGGCGAGGATTTTGTGTTAGAAGTTGGATGCAGAAGCAGCTCTCGCATTTGCTGTCCTCTCTCCCCCATGGTGTCGTGGCCCTGTGACCCATCTGCCCTCCTGCCCTTTGCACCCATGGGTGCTAGAGCTGCATGAGCACCCTGCTTCTCTGGTTAAGTAACTGGACATGAGCTTGGTCTTCCAGAAAGAACAAAATTGATGGTTGATCCATTGTGGGTCCAACAACTCTTTCGCTAACTGGGAAGGAGACCTGGCTGCTGGCAAAGTGGCCGTTCCCCGTTCAGCGTCCTGCTTGGAGAAGGCGAGAGGAGCAGATGCTCGTGGCCACCGCTGGCAGCGTGGGCACAGCCACGGCGGGGAGCGAGTTCCCCAAAGCAGGGAGGAGGTGAACTCATGTTCATACCGTGAATATGGAAAAGCAAATACAAGGGGGTTTGTAACTGAACAAAAGGGGTGAGTGTGGCTGATATTTCCTTCTGAAGGGAGTCTTCGAGCAGCCCTGTTCCAGAAGATCACCTGCACAAGCAGCATTGGGATATTTTTCACGGGGCTGCGTAACAGATGTAGAGTTGTGTTTGTAGTATTTTTATAAACCGCATATAAGCAACAAATTGCCTATAATATCAACAGCAATCACAGATGCTCATTTTTTAAATATACCAAACATCTGTCAGAAGAGTGAAAAATGTCAACAAGATACAGCATCTGTCTCTAGTCCTTTGTCATCTACCAAGAAACACAGCTATTAACCAGAAGCGTTAGTCCCAGCAAGGCTAATGCAGTTCCATTAAACTTTCTGTGTCTCCTATCTTACATATTTTGCTGGAAGAAATCTTTAACAGCTTTTCCCCTCCAGTAGCTTTGCTTTAGAGGCTGTGAGAGCCTAGAGTTTTCCTACCAACTGTATTTTTGCATCCAGTCCCAAACGACACTCAAGTTGCACCTTTCTTTCTGGAGGAGAAGCCAAAGGGCAGCTCTTTGCTATGTCCCTCAGTGAGTCACCGTGAGGAAGAGGTAGATCCTTTTTTTGAGGAACTTGCTCCTTTTCTGTGATGTTCTCCAGAAAACCTTACTGAGCCAGGCTGCCCAGGCAAGGAGAACCATACATACATACTACAGCTCGGGAGCGTAGATGTGTCCCTGTTCTGGGATCTTAAAAAGAGGTAATGTATAAGTAAAGGGTAGGGTATCTGTAATATTCTGGGTGAATTTGGATTCCTGTATATTTTTTCTGCTAACAAAGCAGAGGCTGTTGAGCTGGCACCGACGGGCTGTGTGGCAAGAGGCTTAGAGGACCCCTCACCCCTGGGTCACCAGAGCAGAAGACAGGAGCGTACCCAGCCATGCCCTACTCGTGACCTGATTTTACAAGGCTCTGGCCATATCCCTGAAGTATGTGTGTGTAATTCCTACTGAGACCTCGAATTCCCATTGCTAGTGCTCAGCTCCTGCCTGCTCGATCCAGATCCCGTCGGCTCATGTCTCATGCTCCTTCCCCAAGTCTTGCTCCATCCTTGCCATGGTTTTGGGGTTTTCTTCCCTGTATTACACCCTTTTTCTCTATGACCGAGTAGCTGTGACCCCAAGGGCATGACGGCAATCACCACCTGCTGAAGGACGGGCAGTCCGTACATGGCCATAAACTGTGACCTGAGGAGCTGCCGATGCTGCCCGCGTGGTGGAGGGCCCTGTGTCTGTACCCACTCTTTAATTACAGGCTAGGAAGTTTAGCCTATCTAAAAGACAAAAAAATGCCCAACAGACTCATACTGCTCGCAGCAGCACAGGGGGCGAGGGGAGGCATCTCGGCGAGCTCCTTCCCAAATCAAATGATTCTCCAGAAATGTTCTCAGACTAAACAATTATTAATAGCTTCTGAGAGAGGTTCAAATAAACATCCCTCTCCTGCAGAGATAAGGGGAAGGCTACATGCAATTGCTTTGAATCTGATCCTTTGGCTGTTAATGTTAAATAAATTTAAAACGGCCATAAGGGTAGGAACCCCTCAGAGGTCACGTCTGCTTATTTGTCTGATTGCAGTAGGTGTCTCCTTAGACTGAAATCCAGCACAGCCCTGTGCTGCTCCTGCAAACCAAATACCAAAGCGCTGGTGAAGCAACGCACATCTCATACATAAATGATAAGCAATAGAGATTTTGCAGAAGGAAAATGAGGTTTGAATGGAGCTAGCGAGCGAGAGGGAGGAAAAGCAGTCTGGGTGGCGAGAGCCTGGGACAGCGGGGAGGAGGCAGCCACGGGCAGGAACGGAGCCACGGGGAGCTGGAGGCACTCCACACACGGCTTACAAACCAGGAGGGCAATTTTGAGCAAGGTGCAAGTGCCAGCTGTGTTTTTTCCCTTGTATTAAAGCAATGATTAATCTTACATTTTAGACATTTTTCTTTTTAGCCCTTTCTCAGACTATTTAGAGAAAGGCAGATCTCTGGAGTGATAGCGTATGGCCCTCGGCAAGGTCGGGTTGATTACGGCGGAGCGTTTGTCAGCCCCAGCCTGAGAGCCGAGAGCAGCTGTGAGCACCCGGGCAGGGTCCCGGCCACCGCGGGGGGGTCGGGCAGGGGAGCGGGGAGAGCAGAGCCCATCGCCGGCGGTGAAATCACCTTCTTCTGGTCTGCTTTTGTGTCCCGAACAGGCTGCTACGTCCGCAAAGTGGTGAACATCTCCTTTGGCCTCCTGATTGCTTATCTCAGCATCCCGGTTGTCGTAAACCTGCTCAGCTCCAGACAAGTCATGAACACCTCGTTCAACCCTCTCAGAATAGTGAACACCTACGGAGCTTTCGGGAGGTACATGTATTTTAATGGCACATCGTATAGCTCTGCTCCTCTCTCCACTATAGTCCGATAGCCAGTCTGTGCGCCTTAAACCTGAACAGAAATCCTAGAAATCCTTCCAGTAGCCAGTAGACTTGGAATATCTGTTTGTGAGAAAGAAGGAGAAAAGGAGCAGGTTTCTTTCCCACTGAATTGTAATTTATTTTCTTTGAGCCACTTTTAGTTAGCTCATTATATTGATGTAGCACATGTAAATAGCAGGATGAAAAGATCCATAAAAGAGTTCATCCAGTGGATAGTCTTCGCCATCACCAGCCCGCTATATTTATGGTGAAGTCCTCTTCCCCTGCGCGCATTTGCTCTCCCTCCTGTAAATGTTCACATAAGCTATTGGGTAACAGATTTTAGGCCAACAAAAGGAAGTGCTTTTTCCAACGAGTGACTTGGGGAATTCATTGCTACAGGAAACTGTGGAGACGAAAGTATAAACGGCCTCAAAAAAGAGCAAGACAGACTGAGAGGACAGGCCCAGCAGCAGTCTGGCTGCTGCCTTCAGCTCAGGAAATCCCGCTTTCGGCTGCAAGGCGGGACTGGACAAGGGAAGCATCTCCAGCTGCGTTTGTAACCAGGCTGGTTCGATGTAGCACGTAAATAGCAGGATGAAAATATCCATAAAAGAGTTCATCCAGTGGATAGTCTTCGCCATCACCAGCCCGCTATATTTATGGTGAAGTCCTCTTCCCCTGCGCGCATTTGCTCTCCCTCCTGTAAATGTTCACATAAGCTATTGGGTAACAGATTTTAGGCCAACAAAAGGAAGTGCTTTTTCCAACGAGTGACTTGGGGAATTCATTGCTACAGGAAACTGTGGAGACGAAAGTATAAACGGCCTCAAAAAAGAGCAAGACAGACTGAGAGGACAGGCCCAGCAGCAGTCTGGCTGCTGCCTTCAGCTCAGGAAATCCCGCTTTCGGCTGCAAGGCGGGACTGGACAAGGGAAGCATCTCCAGCTGCGTTTGTAACCAGGCTGGTTCTTAAGCATCTGAGTCTGGGTTTCCTGGGGACAGGTCACCAGGCTTAGGTGAGCCACGGTTGGGCTCACCGTAACCGTTCTTGTGTGCTGTCCCTCCCAGCCTCTTCCAACTGAGGAAAATGCTGAAAAACAGGGCTTCATGGGAACAGCTTGCCCCAGGGGCAACAACAGGGCCAGTCTTCTCTGCATGGACCTCTGGCTTTGCTACCACCTCGCGATGGTGGCCGTGGGATGTTCCCTAGAGGTCTGAGCCAAGGGGTGCGATGGGCAGCTCTTGGGTTAGTGGGCCCTGGACAAGGTCCCACAGGAGAAGCCAGCCGTAATTAAATAGGTTTTATAAAAGGCGAAACAGGTTGGCTGTTGAGAGGGCTGGCTGAGCGGGTGGTGAAGGGGAGGAGCAGGTCTCACTGTGAGCACTGGAGATGCAGAGGACACCTGGAGCACATCAGATTAATATGATGTTTTCCCCAATTTTTCAAATAGCAGAAATTTCTGTGGAAAGACAAAAGTTAGAAAAAAACATGATTAAGAATATCAACGCTAGTTGTGGAAAATGCTGAAGTTTCTCCTCTTTTTTGAGAGAGGGAGAAATAACCCCTGAACCTCTTTGAAGGCTGGAGTGGTGAAGCTACGGGAGATTGTTTTCTTTGGGTTGTTGTTCTTTTTCTTCTTCAGTCTATGGTTTCTGTTTCAACAGTCACCAGAACCTAAAGAGCATGTGATGAAATGCTGCTGTAATATGTTTGTAATTCCAGCCTATGTAAACCAATAAAAAGAGGATTGCAGCTTATAATGAATATACGATTATGTGAAACTTGACATATTTTGAATCACACAGTAGGAACATACTTTTATTAGTAATTTGGTGTCCCTGATTTACAGTGTGTTTCTAACCATTGGGCAGCTGGCCACGGCTCATAACTCAGCCCAGCGTATAATATGGAACTTGGCTGGAGAATCCAGAAATCTATTAAATGTAGGTAACAATTATAAGTGGAGACGTACAGCATTCCTTGGGTTGTAAGCATCTATCACTGGAAGCCATCGGGGAAGAAGGTGGAGGCTGTCTGTTTCCAAACTTTCGGTTTCTTGGGTTGGAGGAGGAGGGACCAAAGTAGTAAAAAATTAAAAGGGTGTTGAGAACTGGACAACTTTGATAGGCAGAGTTACACAGTTATGTGTTCGTTACGGAAAACAGCTCTCTGGTGTAGGCGAGCGTCACTGAGAGGTCATTGAGAACTTGATGATGGTGTTTTCACATGGGTTTTCCATGGCCTGGAGAGTTTGCCATCCCCATTGCTCTACCACCTTGCTGTGCAGAGAGAGTCCAGCCAAGCAGCAAAGGGAATACGCAGGACCTGCCGTATGCAGGACCTGCCGTAAGGCTGAAAAAAATGGTGCTTTTTACCAAGTTTCTATACATCAGCTGGGTATGGGGTGGCTTTTTTGTTTTCATTTTCTGCTTTTCTTGGCTTGGTTTGCATTGGCTCACAAGTTACCTCCTCCTCCTCCTCTTCCTGAGTAATAGCTCCATGAGACCTGTCTTCCAGCCGGGATGGTGAAATGTTTGAGCACGTAGAGACAGCTATTAATAGTGCCCCAAGAGTCAGCTCCTGGGGGGTGCTCCGTATGGGGCCAACCACCTCCCCAAGGCTCAAGCAGCTGTAGCCAGTTAACCTGGGCTCATTGCGAGCGTGGCCATTGCCATGGCCAAGGTTCGAGCTGGAGCTCAGCACCCCGTGGCCAGCGGCGCTGCGGGGAGAGCCAGGCTCGCAAAGGGGACGCTGGAGTGGTCCCAGCTGGAAGCTGCTCTGCTGATCCCACAGCTGGAGGTGTCAGGGCCAGACCTTCAAAACGCAGAGGCAGGATTTCTGTGCGCAATCGCCTGTGAAACTTCCCCTGCAGATATCGTCGGTGGCCATGCCATTAGGGCAGCCACACGTGCCAGTTACAAGCCTGTATTTTTGCACATGGCACGTGCCAAAAACCTGGAGATGGAGCTATGTTTTGTGACCATCTTTCATCTCCGTTTTCTCATATCATTAGGAGCTTGTAGTCAGAGAGCTCTTGTATCACGGGAGTCGTCAGAGTAACAGAAACAAAGGTTTTCTTCAGAAACAGGGGACAAAGAGAGAAGTTGTTGCAGGTTGAAGATGTTCATGTGGGACTTGGGAGACACTCATTATATTCTCTCGATGCCTTGGACAAGTGTTAGGCTCTGATGTAGAAAGACAGACCCATCGATTTCAGTAGGAATCATCCTTTTGGGCCATAGTCCCTCCTTGGACTGGCAGTTGGAGGGGAGCGTGGGAAGGCGTGGAAGTTGAAGTTTTCCATATACTTTGCTGCTGGAGAGAGAAAAGTCTGCCGGATGGACAGGTTCTCTGTAGCTTGACCCATCAGGATCCAACTGTACCACGAGGCCATTGACTTGTGTTGCCATGTTGACTCCCATGAACTAGCATTTTACATGACTTGAGATAAAAAACAATATCATGTTGTGTCCCACAGCATTACCAAGGAGAGAACAGAAGTCGTCCTTCAGGGGACGTCCAGCCTGGATCCCAATGACCCCGCTGCTGTCTGGGAGGAGTATGACTTCAAATGCAAGCCTGGGGACTTGAAGAGGAGGCCATGCTTTATCACCCCCTACCACTACCGCCTGGACTGGCTTATGTGGTTCGCTGCCTTCCAGGTATGTGCCTTTGGGTGTTATAAGACTTGGGTGTCCCTTGACCAGGAAAAACAATTTATATGAATTTACTGTGTGTTGGGGTGGTTGGGGGAATATTTGAATCCATGGCTAAGTTAATTATGTTAAAAAAGAAAAAAAAAAAAGGTTGTATTCCTAAAGGATGTCTACCACTGGTGTAATGAAACTCTTGGAAGTTTTGTGTGAGGCTTTTTCATTGTTTCTCAGCAATAACAAGAGTTAAAGACATGGAGGAAGCCCCTGGACTGCACCTGCCTCGCGAGGCGGTGGGATGAAGGGGGGG